GAGAGAGAGAGAGAGAGAGAGAGAGAGAGAGAGAGAGAGAGAGAGAGAGAGAGAGAGAGAGAGAGAGAGAGAGAGGATATTCCTTCCGTACTCAATAAGTCCTTAGGATTTTGCTATTTCGATCTTTTCCTGCCCTTTCTCCTGGCACATCCTGTCCTATCTTGCTCTTCTTCCTGACGGCAGATCTTCTGCCTTTGCTGCAGCTTGTGCCTTCTTCCCCTGGAACCAGCTGATGGCCTTCTGAGTCTCGCCTACTTCTCTTGCAGCTGGACTTCCTAAGTTTGGTTGATAGCCGTGCTCCACCATCCATTGTGTGTGCCTTTTCTTCAACCTCAGCGTCATTTTTCGAGCCGTTGTCACCGCCCTCCACCACCTCCGACTTCTTCTGACCGTCGGTTTCGACTATCAGTCTGCGCTCTGTGCTTGACCGTCGTCGCCCTGCATAGCAAGGGAGGTCCTCCGCAGGACCAACGAACACAGACATCTGCTCGGGCACCGCAGGACAAAGGCAATTGGTGTACAAGACGTAATAATCTCTAGACAAAAACTGCACTCTGATTGGTAGGTGTCTCCAAGCCGACACGGTGAGCATTGTGAACAGGATCTGGATTCTCGCCTTGAGGCCAGCTCGCGCACGTACAGCCTTTGCCGCTTCACGGACGGCAACCGACTTCCTTGGGTGTTTCCATGCCCACTCAAATCGGAGTGCTTGCGTCTGCTTTTGGAACCCATAAACCACCAGCACCATCTCCCAAGGCCGTCGCATCCGTGTCTGTCTCGCCCCGCTTTTTATCGAACCGTTGTGTTGCCTTAACCGACGAATGGGATTGACCGTGAAGCCCACATAGGTGTACCCTGTATAAAGTGGATTCACAGAACGCAGTACGTAACATGCAAAGAACCCGTCTTCACAAAAATCACCTCCATCCCCTTCTCCCCATCCTCGTTTTTCAGAGCCGTTACCACCCTCAGGAATATCCATGCCCGGATTCTTCTCGTCAATTTCGTCTATAGGCATAGGAGGAGTTTTTGCTGCATCAATATCCATACTTGCCCTTCATATGGTTGCACAGCCAGAGCTAGCTGTTCGCAGAACAAAAAATTAGAAGAAAGAACAGTACAACACACATTTTTCTACTACCTATCACATTCTTACATACCACTAACCTATCACATTCTTACATACCACTAATCTTGGGAGAGGTCCGAACTCGAGAGGAGAGGAGGAGATGTGTCACGTCACAGGTGATTGGTTCTTTTAACTAATGGAATGGGAAAACAGTCCCCCATACCGTACAGTCGCTGCACTCTTTCAAATAATATACCTCATCCTTTCCTGATTATTGTTACGGGACTGATGTATTTTACAAGATATTGGACCAGATTCACTTGAAAAGATCTTGAGTGTATGTATGCCCTCAAAATTCTGGGAATGAGACGTTCAGGGGGAGAGAGATCCTCACACTACCGTGTTCCCCCGAACATAACTCATATGCGTTGTAAACGAATACAAGGCATAGGTTGCTTTCTGTTAGAATACAACTCATGTGTTCTATTGGAACAGCTGGTATGTTTGAATAGAACGCATAAAACTCGAATACAACGCATATGCCTTATATTCGGGGGAAGACGGTAGCACTCTGATCGATTGATGTATTTGCCAAGACATTGCATCAGATTCAGCCGAAGAAGTCTTCGAGTGCCAGCATGCAACTGGTAAACATATAGGACTGTATTAGGCTATCAGTTGTATCTACGGAGTGCCTCCCTCCCCCTTAATGATGCGCTCTTCATCGACTGCATGGCACCATCACACAACTGCATCCACTTTACAGCGAGACCCCCCCCACATGCAGCGTGATTGTTGCCTACCCATTTCTTTCCCCAAACCCGTGGCTGCTAGTTGGGGTAAGGTCGGAGCCTACCATCTTCCTCAGAATAGAACGTACAGCCACTGTCACTGTACGTAGACTGAAAGTTCCACCAAATACAGCTTGCAACGACCATACATTCTATTCGGTGGGCATGGTGGGAGGATATGATTCTCCCTTTTTTTTCAGCAAGATCAGTCATGCAGCCATCCACACGCACACACACAGAAGCCGGCGTATATCCGAACCACCGTATAATGGTGCTGCAGATATGTCCAGTCCCCCTTCCAAGGCTGGCTGAGGCAAAGGAAAGGGGTGGGGGGACACTCCGGGCAAGTTGGTACATAGTCCGGGATAGCAAGTATAGTACGTATGGTCTGGGATAGTGAGTACAGCAAGTATAGTCTGGGATAGTAAGTATAGGACGTATAGTCTGGGATAGTTAGTACAGTAAGTGAAGTATAGTCTGAGATAGTTAGTACAGTAAGTATAGTCTGGGATAGTACGTATAGTAAATATAGTCTACAATATAGTAAGTATAGTCTGTGATAGGCAGCGTAGTAGTACGTATAGTCTGGGATAGTAAGTATAGTCTGGGATAGTTAGTACGGCAAGTAAAGTATAGTCTGGGAGAGTGAATATAGCTGGTATAGTCTGGGATTTGAAGCACAGTAAGTATAGTCTGGGATATAGCAAGTATAGTCTGGTCTAGTAAGCATAGTAAGTATAGTCTGAAATAGTAAGTATAGCCTCAGGGATATAGCCTATAGAGTGCAGGTACAGAATGGTAAGGGGGTGGGGCTTGAAGCACCAGTACACCTTATATCGGCTCGCGGGCGTCAGCATGAAACCCGCACCGCTTCGGAGGCTGCTGATTTTTTTCAACGGCGGGCCTGGCCGCGCGGCCCCTCCAAGTGTTGCTTATGGAGGCAAAACAGTCAGGACATGACCCCAGCCTTGCTGAAAAGAAAACTCGTAGCCTACAGAATTTTGGCAGGCCCAGCGGCGGCAGCCGGCGGCCCCCGAAAAGGGCCCACGGCCCATAGCTGGATGTACTGGTCCCCAGCCTTGCTGAAAAGAAAACTCGTCGCCTACGAAATTTTGGGAGGCCCAGGGCCGTAGATAAATTGAATAGCTGGATGTACTGGTCCCCAGCCTTGCTGAAAAGAAAACTCGTCGCCTACGAAATTTTCGGAGGCCCAAGGCCGTAGATAAATTGAATGGGCGGCGGGCGGCCTCCGAAAAGGGGCCGCGGCCTATAGATGGATGTACTGGTGGTTTAATGCGGACACTTCTTTATCTGGGCGGATGCTGCACCCGTAATATTCTGTCTTAACTGCGCACCCCTTCTAAGCCTGCCTGCGAAAGCAAAAAGTCAGATGCATCATTTTCAAGGACGGAATCAGCACACAGAGAGAGAGAGAGAGAGAGAGAGAGAGAGAGAGAGAGAGAGAGAGAGAGAGATTGACATAAAAAGGACACAGGAAGTGGAAACTCTTGAACAAAGGGAAAAAGGGGGGGAAAGAAGACAACATCCAGTTGAAAGTATTAACTACAAAAGAAGAAAAAAAGAAGAAAAAAGAAGAAGAAAGAAGAAAGTATTAACTATAAAGGAAAACTGAAGAACGAAGACGTCCGAGGACAAAGAACGGCTTCGCAATGTATTACAACTTTACTTTAAAAAGAATGTAGCCGTCTGTGCAGTAGTCTCACGATCTCTAATTAAATTGGAAACTTCAAACGTACAAAAACAACAACAACAATTCGTTGAATAGAACAAAACTCCACAAGGATCTCCTCATCCGCGCTACTACTACATCTCGCCTTCACGTCTGACAATCCCCAGCAGCCTCTCTTCCCAACCTCTGCGCTGTGTACAATTACGCTCTCTCTCTCTCTCTCTCTCTCTCTCTCTCTCTCTCTCTCTCTCTCTCTCTCTCTCTCTCTCTCTCTCTCTCTCTCTCNCTCTCTCTCTCTCTCTCTCTCTCTCTCTCTCTCTCTCTCTCTCTCTCTCTCTCTCTCTCTCTCTCTCTCTCTCTCTCTCTCTCGTTTTTGCCAACTCGAGAGACGATGAGCGCACCATTGAAGTAGTGGTAGTAGTAGCAGCAGCAGCGATCCCCGGCAACCGAAGCCTTTCTTCCCCTCCTAAGCCTGCCTTCCCCAACTTGCTTTGCACAATGCTTCTTTCCGCCTCACCCAATTTGCTTTGCACAATGCTTCTTTCCGCCTCACCCAATTTGCTTTGCACAATGCTTCTTTCTGCCTCCCCCCAATTTGCTTTGCACAATGCTTCTTTCTTTTGAAAAAATGTTTGCAAACTGAAGGAGGCTTCTGCATGCACAACGCTAATCTTTGCCACCTGCCTTTCTGCACGTCTGTGTGTGTGTGTGTGCATGTGTGTGTGTGTGTGTGTGTGTGTGTGTGTGTGTGTGTGTGAGAATGAAAATCCCTCCCACTCCGCCTCGTGTGACACGTGGCATGGCATGCTGATACGCGCCAACAGCGGACACTCCGTTGTGTGATGTCATGACATGCTAAGAAGCTCCGTTGTGTGATGTCATGGCATGCTAAGAAGCAAGCCCGCACTCCACATGTGTGACACGTGGCCTGCTATGACAGGCCCAGCTCCATGTGTCTCTTCTCTCGAAAGATGGCATGTCTTCCATAGCGGCACACGGAGGGGAACACAAATGGCGCAGCAGTGGTGGCGACCTGACTAGTATCTGCGTTCTCCTCTCCTCCCCCCTGCCCCCCCTTCCCCCCCCAGTCACCACCAAGTGCTCCTTCCTCCCTATACTATAAAACAACTGCTTCTTCCACGTGTATGACACGAGCCATACTATCAAAGTCGTCCAAGTCCACATCTGTGACACGTGGGATGCTAAACGTGGACTTCCCCACGTGTGAGAGACGTGGCATGCTATTCTAATTCCTATTCCACAAGTGTGACACATGGCATGCTATAACAACTCGACTCCTCCACATGTGAGACACGTGGCATGCTATAATAACTCCAACTCCATGCGTGAGACACGTGGCATGCTACCTAAAGTCAAGTGCTCTGCATGTGACTCGTGGCACCGAACTCCTCCAATGTGTTACACGTGGCATGCTATATCAACTCGAATTCCATGTTTCTCTCCTCTCGAAAGATGGGCAGGTCTTCAGGTCGGCACATGGAGGGGAATGTGAAGGACGCAGTGGTGGTGGTGGCCGCCCGAGCAGAATCTGCCTTCTTTCCCCCCTCCTCGCCCCCACCACCACCAGCAGCGAGTGCTCCTTCCTCCTCAACCTCCTCCATCGGAATTGTTTTGGGATTCGAACACCTGACCATATCGAGGAACAGCAGGTGCCAGCGCAGATCTGACGTGAGCTCAGGGTGGAATGCTGTGCCCAGTAGATGGCCCTGTCTGATTGCCACGATCACTTTGTCCCGAGAATGGTTGTCCCCACAGCTTGGTGCTGTCGTCGGCTCACGTGGAGCGTGGATCTTGTCCTTATCCACGTCAACAGCGGTGGGGATCACCATCATGCCCTCATCCACTTCAGCGGTCGGGACCACCATCCCCTCCGGTACCGGACACTCCGCCAGCACCTCGACCCCCTCTCCCACCTCCAAAATGCCTGGCGCTCTAATGAAAATGGCGCGGAAATGATCGGGACTTTTGGCGGGAAAGTGGGATGGGACTGGCAGCTCCGTCTCGAAGCTGTTGATTTGGCTTCCGAAGAAGTTCCTGTGAACTTTGCAATCAAGCCCTCCGAGCAAGGCCTGACCGCCCTTCTTCTGACCGGTCGCCCGGTTGGCCAGGAAGATCAGCCCCGCGCACGTACCCCACATGGGCTTTCCTGATTGGGCAAAACCACGTAAGGCAGCGATCAGCCCGTTCCTCTCGGCCACATTAGCCATCGTCGTGCTCTCCCCGCCAGGAATGATTAGCCCCGAGACACGTGTCAACTGTTCCGCCTTGCGCACCTCGATGGCTTGGACACCGCAGCGCCGCAAAGCCGCGCAGTGCTCTCTATAGGATCCTTGAATTGCCAGCACACCAATGATCGACACGTGGCGGTCGCCAGCCTCTTCACCACCAGAAGGTTGATTGCCCCAATCATCCGCCTGCGTAGCCATCCTGTGACATCAACACAATGACACTACCTGACGTCTGAATGGCTGACTAGCGGGGAGGGGGCTGGATTGGGCGGGAAGCGCGGGCGGGGGAAGGGGGGGCGACTGGGCGGATGGGGAAGGGGGGACCGGGGGCAAGCGGAGTGTTTGCCCCGTCAACCAACCAGGAAGAGCGCAACACGCCGTCTCCTCATCCCATCACCCGAGAAACTCGGGATCCAGACAAAGAGGACACCCATACTGATTTTCACGCGGGCAGTCGAGGATGGATGCACAGTAGAATTTCAAAAACAGCGAAGGTAGGGGCTTTTCTGAAAACGTGGCTGAATGGTACACACGTCTCAACTCTCACGTAACAAACAGACATGAGCTGGACTAGTTATGGGACCAACTGGATGTGGTAAGAAGGTTCGACGGTGCCCCCTTCCGAAAAAGAAAAACGAAAAAAAAACGGTAATAAAGAGCATCAATGGTTGTGAGAAGGTTATGGGATATACCCTTTCAAGATCGGGATGGGGAGAGAGGCAAGCAAGAGGAAGAGGAAGAAAAAGGAAGAAAGAGGACGGAAGAGGAAGAAAGCTATAGAATGAAGATGATGACGGAGGAAGAAGGAGGAAGAAAGAGATGGAGATGAAGGGACAAAGAGAGGAAGAGAGGACGAAAAAGTAGGAAAGAGATTAAGACGGGAAGAGGAGAAGAGGAAAAAAGAGGAGGAAGCCGCGGGAGAAGGATTGAAGAGGATCACGAGTTGGTCAGGGGGTTGGGAGCAAAACAAAAGAGGCGGGGGGAAAATGAGAGGAGGCAATACGATTAGGGAACGAAGAAACAAAATGACAAATACCATTCTCGTTCCTTTCTTCCTCTTTTTTCCTCTCCTGCTCTCCATATAATCTCGCTCTTCGCCTTCCTCCCCCTCTCAATCTCTTCAGCTTTCCTCGTCAACCCCTCCCCTTCTCATGCGCTCCCTCTCCTCCTGAGGTACTCCGCTTTCGTCTTCCCTCCAGCCTTTGCCTCCCTCCAGCCTTCGTCAACAATATGCAGGGGGGTTCAGCTGTGTGGAAGCCCCCTGAGGAGTGCAGGTGCATAACCAGCCCAGCCGCGCAGTGATCGGCTTCGCTATGTCAATTCCCTATTTGTGTTTTCTTTCTCAGTTCCTTTTCAGTTTTTTTTTCATTTCCTTTCGTTCTTCTTCGTTTCTTTTTATTTTCCAATTCCTATTCTTCGACTTCGTGCCGCTGTTTTCTTATGCCCTGATAGATTGCCGTTTCCCTCTGTCTCTCTCTCACACACACACACACACACACACACACACACACACACACACACAC